ACAAGACATCTACTACGTGTTCCCAATTACTAGACACTTTATTTTTATGTCTGTTCAAACATATCAGAGGTGTCACAGCTGATGTTGATTGATGAAGACGGAAGTACACGTCGAAACATGTCAGGTATGTCTGAACAGACATAAAAATAAAGTGTCTAGTAATTGGGAACACGTAGTAGATGTCTTGTGATTATTTGACATGAGTTTTACTTTTWAACTGTAAATGTATTTAATTTAGTTACGTTAGTTATGATAGTTTAGTTATGATGTAAAAACAATTAAAAATAAACCAAGATTTAGAATAATTATTATTTTGATCCATACACTGGTAATGTCTGACTGGGCCTCGTGCCACTTTATGTTCAACAAATTGGGCCCCGAGGTCAAAAAAGGTTAAGAACCCCTGGTTTAAACTAAATGTATTTCATGAATCAGAAGTAGTCATGACCTTATCTACAGGCTTTGAGCATGCATTCAAAAAGGGTCAATTGAGTTTTGAGGATGAGGCGTTCACGGACAACACTCTGTGTTGGACATGAGAGATCTCAATTATCATCGATATCATTCTTCTTATTACTGAATTAATGAATGACAATTAATTAATTAGGTTGATTTTAGGTATATGTTTCATCACTTTCTGCAMATTTATTATGAGTCACTTGAATACAGCTCAGCTATTCACCAAAGGTTGTGTGTTGCTGCCTGACCCACTTGTGTTGCTTGTGATATTTAACTAAACTTTGTAACTGTGCATCATTGAAAAGCAAATAAACACTCTGCTGCTTCTGCTACTTACAATACAGTTTTATTACATCAAACTTCTGACTCTTTAACTGAACATTTACATTCACTGTAAGGTGTACGTGARTAAAACAGATCCTCCTGTTTAACTCACTACATTATGAGGATGCTGTTTGCTCAGCTCCAGAGAAAATGCCTCTCCACTCTGTAAAGATTTACATCTGCTCTCCCGGATTACYGTTATTTACCTGTCTAATGGATTTCCTAATTGAGGTCAAGTAAAGGCATATTTACTATCAACCAATTCTATGTGGTAGAAACTAAAAATAAAAACTACACAATAACATTCTACACTGTAATGACGTCGTCAGCACATTAACCTTGCAGGGGACAAAGCAGCTGGAAAGTTGTGACAGCTAAGTGATGAATACTGTCTCCAGAGTGTCAAAACCGAACTCTGTGTCTTCTGTCCTATATGTCATGCAGACAGGCTGCGTGTCCCTGTCTGTCAAATGTCACAGCTCAGGTGATTCAGACCACACTGGGCTATGGCCATCAAAAGATGCAAACGATGTGGCTGATGGGGTCACAAAGCTCCAAAAGAGACAGGAGCATARGCAGTAAGTGCTTATCCAAGTCCTGGAAAAACACACTTTATTTATTGTAAATATTTTAGTAAAAATATTTTCGGTAGATCGTTCTTTCTGAAAAATTTATACATTGACTTTTTGCTCTGCCCATAGATGAGCTGTAGTATTTCATGTATTTATTAAGCTTAATATGAATGGAAACTCTCTTTTTGAGCCAATTTGTTGTTGAGTAGCTGCTGTCTCAGATCATTGGGCCTCATGCAAGAACATGTTCGTATTCTTCTCCTAAATTTCTCTTACTTTTGTTCGTACAAAGGG